GCCTCAGCCTCCTGAATAGCTGGAACTATAGGCACATGCCAACACATCCAACTAATTTTTTCTACTTTTATTAGAGATGGGGTCTCACTCTTACTCAGGGTGGTCTTGAACTCCTGTGCTCAAATAATCCTTCTGCTTCAGACTGCCAAAGTGCTAGAATTACAGGTATGAGCCACCTCACCCACACAATTTCGATTCTTTTTTATAATTTCTGTCCCTTTATTGATATTCTGTATATGATGGGGTATCATTATCCATATTTTCTTTTAATTATTTAAACACAGATTCCTTTAATTCTTTGTACAAAATAGTTGATTAAAAGTCTATATCTAGGAGCTGAGTGCAGTGGCTCACTCCTGTAATCCCAGCACTCTGGGAGGCCGAGGCAGGTGGATTGCTCAACGTCTGGAGTTTGAAACCAGCCTGAGCAAGAGCGAGACCCCCGTCTCTACTAAAAATAGAAAGAAATTAATTGGCCAACTAAAAAAAAAAATCTGCTTCTAGGCACACCAATTTTCATCCTTTGACAGCTCCTCACCGTGAACCCACCATCTTATTTCCCTGAACTATTTCTATAACATCTTTATTCTTTGTCCTGTTGCCACTAGAAGTCTCTACTTGGCTAGCTTTGTGGTCAGCTAATGATTGGATATAGACTGTTTTTTAATTCTTGGTATTGTTATTGAGATTATGTTAAAATGTATATATTAATTTGTAATAACTGACATATTTATGATGTTGAGTCATCTTGTCCAAGAACATATATACATGTTTATATATGTCTCATATGTATGTAAGAGAGTTAGACATGTTTTAAAATTGCCAAACAGGCTGGGCGCAGTGGCTCACGCCTATAATCCTAGCACTCTGGGAGGCCAAGGCGGGTGGATTGCTTGAGGTCAGGAGTTCAAAACTAGCCTGAGCAAGACCCCGTCTCTACCATAAATAGAAAGAAATTAATTGGCCAACTGATATATATAGAAAAAATTAGCTGGGCATGGTGGCGCAGGCCTGTAGTCCCAGCTACTTGGGAGGCTGAGGCAGTAGGATTGCTTGAGCCCAGGAGTTTGAGGTTGCTGTGAGCTAGGCTGACGCCATAGCACTCACTCTAGCCTGGGCAACAAAGTGAGATTCTCTCTCAAAAAATAAAATAAAATAAAATTGCCAATCAATACACAATTTTTTTTTTTTTTAGCAAATTTTATTTCCTAACTGTGTTCACTGAAAGGGCCCACCCCCCAGTAGTGATGAATAAACATCTTGGTTTCTAAATACTAGTCCTGGCGGGACGCGGTGGCTCACGCCTGTAATCCTAGCACTCTGGGAGGCCGAGGCGGGTGGATTGCTCAAGGTCAGGAGTTCGAAACCAGCCTGAGCAAGAGTGAGACCCTGTCTTTACTATAAATAGAAAGAAATTAATTCGCCAACTAATATATAGAGAAAAAATTAGCCAGGCATGGTGGTGCATGCCTGTAGTCCCAGCTACTTGGGAGGCTGAGGCAGCAGAAATTGCTTGAGCCCAGGAGTTTGAGGTTGCTGTGAGCTAGGCTGATGCCACAGCACTCACTCTAGCCTGGGCAACAGAGCGAGATTCTGTCTCAAAAAAAAATAATAATATAAAAAATAAAATAAATAAATAAATACTAGTCCCCATTTAAAGGAATCAAAGTACCCTGGAGCAATAGCTGTTTCCAGCTCAGTAGAAAAGTATAATATGAGCCTGAAACACTTACGTTAGAAAGCAAGGAGGTACTCAAAGACTAATGGTATCTTCTCAAAAAGAAGCTGACTTCAAGGGGCTCCTGGTGTCCAAATTGTAAATAATTTGAGCATTAAAAAAATGACAAATATCAACTTAAAAATAAAATCCATGATTCCATAGTAATGCTTAAAATTATAATAAGAAAGAATGAAAGAAAGAATGGAAGACAGACAGAGGGTGGGAGAGAAGGAAGGAGAAATGAATTGAGGAAGGAACGAAGAGAGGGGGAGGGATGGAGAAGAAAAAAGGAATGATCTTTTCTAGAAAAATGCCAGCTTATACAAAAGGAAGCATAGAATTAGAAATTATCATTTTGTAACCCTCATTACAATAATTGGCCCTGGAAAAGATCATCAATGGATATTAAAACTAGTGTGTGAAATGTTGTTGAGAAATAGGATATTCTCAATATCTCAAAGTGTCTCCCCACAGAGGGAAAACCATACCTTTATATTGGAGAGCTCTCCAATGGCAGTCACAACTTTTAGCAGATGATCAAATTTGGCATCAAGGGCAGGTGCAGTGGCTCACACCTGTAATCCCAGCACTTTGGGGGGCTGAGATGGGAGGACCACTTGAGACCAGGAGTTTGAGCCCCTGTCTCTACAAAAAAATTAGCCAGGCATGATGGTACATGCATGTAGTCATAGCCAATTGGGAGGCTGAGATGGGAGGATCACTTAGGCCTAGAAGTTTGAGGCTACAGTAAGCGATGATTGTGTCACTGCCTTTTAGCCAGGGTGACAGAGCGAGACCCCACCTTTTAAAAAATAAAATAAAATAATTATTTTTTTTAAAGTTGGCATCACTAAGAGTGCTATCACACTGTAATACTCCCATCACAGCCAATGTAAAGCTACCAATATGACATCTTTATTCCATGGCTTATAAAGAGGTGCTAAAGATCAGCTTGCCTATGAGCATACTATTAATACATCATAACACTAATGTACTTTCTGCCATTATCCAATAAGTACACAACATCACCATATGGTATTTTTGTAAAACATTTTTAATCTGAATATAATCATGAGGAAACAACACTAACAAATGGATAAAGAATTAAATAGCAAAAAATTAAAATTAAAAAATCACAAAACAAAAAGGAAACAACACTAAAATATAGGACATTTGACAAGAAAATGGCCTGGATTCTATAATACAAAAAATTTAATTTCATGAAAAACAATAACAAAAAAGGGCAAATATTCCTTCTCTACATTGAAAGAGACTAAAGAGGTAAACATCCAAATATAACACATATACCTTGAATAACTTCTAGATCAAAACTAAAAATCAAATATAAAAGACATTTGGGGTGACATTTTGGGAAATTGAAATATTAACTGTGCATTTAATGACACTGACTTAATGTTTTTGGGTCTTGCTCTGTTACCCAGGCTGGAAGTGCAGTGGCACCAATCATAGCTCACTATAGCCTCAAACTCCTGACCTCAAGTGATCCTCCTGCCTCAGCCTCCCAAAGTGCTGGGATTATAGGCTTGAGCTATCATACTCAGCCTGAATTAATGTTAACGTTATGTATGACAATAATCATTTTTTCTTACATAGCAGAATGTGATCATTCTTAGGATATGCATGAGGTTTTGGGGAGTGGGGTTGTTTGTTTGAGACAGAGTCTCTCTCTGTCACCCTGGGTAGAGTGCAGTGGCATCTTCATGGCTCACTGCAACCTCAAACTCCTGGGCTCAAGTGATCCTCTTGCTTCAACCTCCCAAGTGAGCAGCTGGGACTACAGGTGCCTACCACAACGCCTAGCTAATTTTTCTATTTTTAGTAGGGACGGGGTCTCACTCTTGCTCAGGCTGGTCTCAAACTTCTAAGCTCAAGCAATCCTCCCAGCCTGGCCTCCCAGAGTGCTAGGATTACAGGTGTGAGCTACCATGCCTGGCCTATGCATGTTGAAATATTTAGAGGTGGCCAGGCATGGTGGTTAACGCCTGTAATCCTAGCACTCTGGGAGGCCAACCTGGGAGGATGGCTCAAGGTCAGGAGTTTGAAACCAGCGTGAGCAAGAGCGAGACCCAGTTTCTACTAAAAATAGAAAGAAATTAATTGGCCAACTAAAACTATATAGAAAAGATTAGCTGGGCATGGTGGTGCATGCCTGTTGTCCCAGCTACTCAGGAGACTAAGGCAGAAGAATTGCTTGAGCCCAAGAGTTCGAGGTTGCTGTGAGCTGGGCTGATGCCATGGTACTCTAGCCTACGTAACAGAGTGAGACTCTTCTCAAAAAAAAAAAGAAAAGAAATATTTAGGGGTGAAATGCCATGGTGCCTATATCATTCAGACAAAAACAAAAGCCCTCTCCTCCTTTCAATATATAGAAAGGAAGGAAGAAGAGAGAGAAAAAGAAAATATAACTGAATATTAAGAATTGGAGGCCGGGCGTGGTGGCTCACGCCTGTAATCCTAGCACTTTGGGAGGCCGAGGCGGGCAGATTGCTCAAGGTCAGGAGTTCGAAACCAGCCTGAGCGAGACCCCGACCTGTCTCTACTATAAATAGAAAGAAATTAATTGGCCAACTAATATATATAGAAAAAATTAGCCGGGCATGGTGGCGCATGCCTGTAGTCCCAGCTACTCGGGAGGCTGAGGCAGGAGGATCGCTGAGCCCCGGAGATTGAGGTGGCTGTGAGCCAGGCTGACGCCACGGCACTCACTCTATCTAGCCTGGGCAACAAAGTGAGATTCTGTCTCAAAAAAAAAAAAAAAAAAAAAAAAGAATTGGAGGTCAGGTTCGGTGGCTCACGCCTATAACTGTGGGAGGCCAAGGGGGGGAGGATTGCTTGAGGCCAGGAGTTCAAGACCAGCCTAAGCCAAGAATAAGACCCTGTCTCTACCCCAAAAATAGAAAAAATTAGCTGGGCATGGTGGCACACACCTGTGGTCCCAGCTATTTGCAAGGCTGAGGCAGGAGGATCATTTGAACCCAGAAATTTGAGATTGCAGCGAGCTATGATGATGCCACGGCACTCTAGCCTGAGCAACAGAGCGAGACTCTGTCTCAAAAAAAAAAAAAAATTGGTGAATCCAGGTGAAGTATATATAGGTAACTATTATACTATTTTTTTACTATATTTATAAGGCCTGCAAATTGTCAAAGTAAAAAGATTGAGAACAAACTTGATCCCTAACTTCAGGGATATCTTACTGTTGCCTCTTGGGCTATTGGTTTTTTAAATTTTCTTTCAGTATTTTTTTATTTTAATGCAGATTCCTGTATCAAGCCTGAGGGACACAGTCCTGGAACTGGCAGTGTTTGATCAACACAGAAGAAAGTTTGATAATTTCAGTTCACTAATGATAGAATGGAAATCCTCGAATGAAACACTAGCCCATTTTGAAGATTATAAGTCAGTAGAGATGGTAGCTAAAGATGATGGTGGTGGGCAGACCCGGTTACATGGTAATGTGAAAATTTATGAACTCTTTCCTACACCTGCCAAGTGATTTGACACTAAATATTTTCTTATAGGCGAGTGTTTTGCTTTGGATTTTATCATGTATCACCTTTCATCTTTGATCTTTGTATTTTTTAGAAAACGTAAAGGCAGATTTCCTTGATTACAAAGCTAGAGTCTAAGGCCAGGCGTGGTGGCTCACGCTTGTAATCCTAGCACTCTGGGAGGCCGAGGCAGGTGGATCGCTCGAGGTCAGGAGTTTAAAACCAGCCTGAGCAAGAGTGAAACCCCGTCTCTACCAAAAATAGGAAAAAAAAAAATTAGCCCGGCATGGTGGCACATGCCTGTAGTTTCAGCTACTTGGGAGGCTGAGGCAGAAGGATCTCTTGAGCCTGGGTGTTTGAGGTTGCTGTGAGCTAGGCTGACACCATGGCACTATAGCCGGGGCAACACAGTGAGACTCTGTCTCAAACAAACAAAAAACCAAAAAACATAAAAAGTGGTACAGAAAAAAGAGATACCCCTAAATCCCCTCTAACAATCAATCATGAAGTACCATTAGTGTTACCTTCTAAATATTTTTTGGTTTCATCTCTTCCTTTCCAACTCCATCACTAAAGTCCTTATCACCTCTATCCTGCATTACCACTGTAGCCTCCTAATATTTCATTGTGTCTCTGCTACTCTCTAATCTATCTTCCACACTGCTGTCCAGAGTGATCTTACTAGAATTCAAGTCTGAATATCTCTCTTAAAATACTTTTTTGTCTGAGTATGGTGGCTCATGCCTGTGATCCCAACACTTTGGGAGGCCAAGATGGAAGAATCACTTGAGGCCAGAAGTTTGAGACCAATCTGGGCAACATAGCAAGACCCCATCTCTATAAAAAATAAGAAAAATTAGTTGGGTGTGGTGATGCACACCTATTGTCTCAGCTACTTAGCAGCCTGAGGTGGGAGGATCACTTGAGCCTAGGAGTGCAAGGCTGCAGTGAGCTATGATCATGCTATTGCACTCCAGCCTGGGCAACAGAGTGAGATCCTATTTCTAAAAAGGAGAGAGAGAAAAATGAGAGAAGAAAAAAGAAAGAAGATGAGAGGGAGAGAAAGAAAGTCAAATGACTAAAGCGGTGTTAGATTATGGAAGACTTCAAATACTAGTTTAAGGAGTTTGAATTGATCTAAGGAAGAATAGTTCACCATTTAAAATTTTTGAGTAAGTGACTGATAGGACATTTACATCTATAGAACAGTTTAGAAGAATAAAAGGTCCCAAAGGACTATCCCTTTTATTTCTCACTTCCATTTGAAAATCCAACAAAAATTTCCCTGTATGCTATTGTCAGGCTATTTTTGGACTCGTAGACCATCAAAGCTGGAAAGAGTTTTAGATTTTGCCTGGTCCAATCTTTCATTTAATAAAAGACCTGAGAGGTAAAGTAGTTGCTCAGGATCATATAGGAATATAGTGGCAGGGTCAGCACAAAAACCTAGTTTTCTATTTCTTGTGTACTTCCCCATTTAGGGTTTTTCTCCCCTGTAATAAAATACTATTTGGAAAAAATTGGGCACAATTTGGTTTTCTAGAAACACTTTTGTTTTGTTTCTTATAGAGTATTTTTCTGCATGTTTCCAGGTCATCAGATCCTTCAAGTACATCAGATAAAAGGGACTGTACTCATTGGGGTCAATTTTGTGGGTTATTCAGAGAAGAAAAGCCCAAAAGTGAGTGGAGATTGTGATTTAAGAAATATAAATTAAATAATTAGAATTTAAGGATCTTATTTAAAAGTTATTTATGGCAGGGCGTAGTGGCTCACGCTTGTAGTCCTAGCACTCTGGGAGGCCGAGGTGGGTGGATTGCTCAAGGTCAGGAGTTCAAAACCAGCTTGAGCAAGAGCAAGACCCCATCTCTACTAAAAATAGAAAGAAATTAATTGGCAAACTAAAAATATATAGAAAAAATTAGCCGGGCATGGTGGCGCATGCCTGTAGTCCCAGCTACTTGGGAGGCTGAGGCAGGAGGATCACTTGAGCCCAGGAGTTTGAGGTTGCTGTAAGCTAGGCTGATGCCATGGCACTCTAGCCTGGGCAACAGAGTGAGACTCTGTCTCAAAAAAAAAAAAAAAAAAGTTATTTACAACTGATGTAAATCTGAGAGCTATGTATTTCTGTGAGTCTATTGTTTTTGGTACCTGAGAGGTACTAAAATCTTCTCTCATGGGGGTGAGAAATTAGAAATTTATATTCACATTTGTGGTTTTTATTACATTTCTAGGAAATTTCCAACTTACCCAGATCTGCAGCTGTGGAGCTGCTCCTGGTGGATGATGTAACTGTATTGCCTGAGAATGCCACCATCTATAATCACCCTGATGTGAAGGTAGAAGCTACCTGGTCTAGTTAAATGGAATCATATGGAGGGGGAATTATTAAAATTAATGGTACAATAATAAAAAAACTCACTATATATTGAAATCATCTGATATATGTATATAACACCTATATAATAATTAGTTACACTATCTTTAAGCATTGTACTTTATAATTATATTTTGTCTTTTGTCCACTGCCTTTAATTTTTTACCCCATATTCTTTCTTAGGTAGGTAGAAGTTATTTCCTTTGAGTTATTTATAAACTGAAGGGAACAAAATGTTGTTTCTCTGATTTTTCCATAGGAAATATTTAGCCTGTGAAGGATCTGGTTATTTTTAGTCAACAGCAATGAGCAGGATATTGTTATCATCACTTATATGGAAGCAGAAAGCTCTGTCCAGGTGAGTTGTAGAGCTATTCCCAGATTGCGATCTCAGGCCAAAGCTCATTCTTAGGAGAATGTTTGGAAAATTCCATTGAGTGTCTAAAACTTGTTACAGAAGTAACATTTGCTTTTCTTTCTTTCTTTAACCTACATAGATTCTTCACCAAAAGTGAGGGTTTTTTTTTCTACGCTAATTATAATACTGGGCAGTTTTTTCTTCTGGTTGTACTAAGACAGTATTGGAGACATCTAATTAGAAGATTTCTATTAAAAAAAGGTTCATTTTTATACATTTCAAACATATAACTGTATAGATATTTAAATGTACCATTGGGCTGGGCGTGTGGTCACCTCTGTAATCCTAGCACCTGGAGGCCGAGGCCAGAGGATCACTCGAGGTTAGGAGTTTGAGACCAGCCTGAGCAA